GATGAGTTATTTTTCCAAAAATATTGAAAACTCGCGAGTTCTTCGCCATAAATTCACACAATTTTACAGACCGTCAAAATTTAACTATCAGCCTACGCATTTGACAAAATGTCTGATTTCACCATTTTCCTGCGACATATGCATAAATGTCTCACGCCATAATGCACATAGTTCCGGTTGACAGGAATACTTCCGAATAGGATCCCTCCATGAGGCTTTTGTCTTCTTTGTCTACAGCTTTGTCTATCAATTTCAAAAATGGCGCCCGACGTGCCGCCACGTCCACTCGACGGTGGAAGCCGGGTAACTTGACGAGTCTAGAGTTCTGCCGTGCTAAGGAACAACGCCGTATGAGCCTTCAGGAGTTGCCAAATTTCCTTTCATAAATCTCGAATTTTCGGGGAAATCGTCAACGTTTTTCTTCCAATTTTTCAGATAATGGACCACTAGATAAGGTACGAATTTAAGCATTCTGATACATGTTTCTCAACCAAAATTTTACGTAAAACACGATGCACACAACGAAAATTACCGAAATTAACTCCTTACGAAGATATTTAATGATTCTTAATGCGTAAATTCAAACCACCCGCTCATGAAAACTCAATGCTCTACGTGATTCACATCGCGCGCTAAACGTTATCATGACAGTCTCTGCGATATAAAAATCTGGCAACCTCAATCTTGACGCTTTGGCTTAGTTATAGCAAATTGCTAATAGTTTGAACAACAGATGATGGGAAATAAACATTGCTCGATTGAGAAGCTTGCTGAAACCGTTGTAGTGGGCGATTTGACTCACGTAGAGTTTTGAGTTTCTTGTGAGCGGGCAGTTCAAATTCCTCGTAACCAATGTGAAATAAAAACGTTAATATCTTCGTTAGGAGTTGGTTTCCGTAATTTTCGTTGTGTGAATCGTTTTCTACGTGAAATTCTGGTTAAGAAACATGTATCAGATCGCTTGAATTCGTACCTTGTCTAGTGGTCCATTTTGTTAGCAATTTCACCTAAATTTTTTGAAATTCCAAGGAAAAATGTCCGTAACTTCCTTAAAAAATAAACAATTTATCGAAGGGAATTTGGCAACTCTCTAATGTTCATACGGCGTTTTTCCTCAGCACGGCAGAGTTGGCGGGAGGAGGAGCACCTGCGGCGCCATTATCGAATCGATATTGAACGACCTTGATCGATTAAAAGCATCGCTAAGATAGGGATTTATCGATTAGGATCATTCGATATCGATTCAACAATCAGCCCGCTGCTAACGTTACGTAAGAGCACGTTGTCCGGCCGTTTTTTGCCGTCCAACGTCCCGTCGGCGTCCGGCCTTGAGGTCCCTCGTGAGGTTCCTCCATCATTCCGTTTTTTTGCCATTGTTTACAAAGGCCCCTCCAGCCGGGTCCCGCTACTTTTTTTCAAACGGGAACCGACGGACGAGAAGGCACTGAAAAACGCCAATAGTTACGTAACTATGCAAATTTTGCCCGAGAATCTCATGAGAAGAGTTTTGTTTTGATCCTGGGTCGGACATCGAACCTCGCCGCTTTCCCTGTTTTCCGCAAAACGCGCAATTTTCATTTTAATCGTTTTCCGCTGGTCAGTTTTCAATAGGCTCGCATCGTGTTGCTCCTCTTTGATTTATGTTCATCGAGTGTCAATCGTCCCCGAAATTTATCGTCACTGCTTATCTATCGAAGATTAAAAACTTGTTTTTCTCTTTTTCATCCTAGTTTTTTTTTACTTATAGAACGTTTCTATCCTTAAAACGCACCATCATTCAATTATTGCTCTCTGGCAGAAGGAATGGCAAAAAAAAATTTCAGTCTCGTATGTTGTCAAAAAATGCCGCTCAGTAGGCTCATCATTGATATTGACAGACAAAGCGACAGACGAAGAAGACGGCGGCTGGAAATGGAGCGATCCTGTTGCTTGAAACGGGCGCTTGTCTTAGACCAAGGGAAAAATGATGGCCTAACTGTAGATCTCTCGTGGAATGCCATTATTTAGTTCCTTCGTCCATTGCAATCACCCGCATCCACCAGTAGAATCCCTCCATTTCCTCCTTGTCTCATTTGTCTATTGCTTTGTCTATCAATCTCAATAATCACCCTGCTGGGCGGTTCATTGATAATCGCTACTGCACTCCCGTGCTCAGGAAGAATGCTGTATGAGCCATCATGCGTTGCCAATTTTCCTTCGACAAATCACGAATTTTCAGGAAAATCTGGGAATATATTTTACTCTCCGATTTTTCAGAGAATTTCGTTCGTAAATTCATGTGAAAAGTCTGGAAATTTAAAGGAAATTTATTCCTAAATTTCTTTGACAATGGATATTTTCCGAGAGGAAATTTAGCAAAATTCGAATGTTCAAAAGGCGTTTTTCCTTAGGACGGCAGGATACTGCACGAAAAAAAAAAAAAAAAAAAAACAGTGCGGATACAGGGACTGAACTTCAGTGTATATTGAACACCAAACCGCGTCGGGTCATGGAACCAAAGTTTTCGGCCATTGGAGTCAAATCTCATCAAACGAACCGAAGTTTGGTTTCTTTGACCAAAAGCCTAGGTCATCTGAACCGAAAAAGTTCGATATAAACCGACCTTTTTTTCCTGGTTTACCATACTTTTGAATAAAAGTTGATCATTTTATGTCTGTATGTGTCTTTTGTTATGAAGAGCGAAGACCCAAGACCTGTTCTCTTGGGCACCCACCGTACCCATCTCCAAGAGGACAGGAACTTTCCTTTCCCACTTACAAAGTAGTTAGCTATTTGCGGAGCAGGGTAGCTGCTCGTCTATTATTGATCAACGACTGAATCTGATCACGAGTAGTTTACAGTTGTTATTACCTTGTATGTAATCTATGCCATTCTAAGCATCTATGACGCATTCTTCAGTGTATCGAATATCACAACAAAGAACCTTACAATCGCGATGCAGCAGATGTAGATACAGGGTAGAAATACTTACGCCAGGAGTATAAAAATCATTCGTGGCTCCTTAGTGCATGCTCTCATCATGCGAGACTTCCTTATCGACCCGATGCCGAGGCTCATCAAAAATTGAAGAACTTTATTTCAAAAATCCTGTACTTAGTTTGTCCCATTGTTCATAGTTTCTGTCGGGGTTTTCAAGTAAAAATAATACCAACAATAGTCCATAAATTCAGCGTCATAGAAGAGGCTCGATTATCGAGGTTTTTTACTCGGACTTTTTTTGCCTCTTTTATACGATGGAGTGGAAGAAAGTGGGTCAATTTATCGAGATGTTCGAAAAACTTATTTTTTTAAACTAATAATTATATTTCAGTCTAATATTTGACAAGTGTTTCAATAGTCTTTTAAAATACTGCCTTCTTGATACCTTTCCCCGGTCAAATACCTTAGTTTCGGCTTATCCGCGGTCGTCTCGTCGCACAGTGTATCGAGTCAATCAAAGATCGGACATGAAATATTCGAGTAAAACTGCTATGGACCACTAGACAAGGTACGAATTTAAGCATTCTGATACATGTGTCCTCACCAAAATTTCACGTAAAACACGATGCGCACAACGAAAATTACCGAAATCAACTCCTTCCGAAGATATTATTGATTCTTGGTGCGTGAATTCAAACCACCCGTTCATGAAAACTCAATGCTCTACGTGATTCACATCGCTCGTAAACGTTATCATGAACATCTCTGCGATAAAAGAATCAGGCAACCTCAATCTTGACACTTTGTCTCAGCTATAGCAAATTCCTTATAGTTTGAAAAACACATGGTGGGAAATGAACATTGCTCGATTGAGAAGCTTGCTGAAACCGTTGTAGTGCGCGACTTGACTCACGTAGAGCTTTGAGTTTCTTGTGAGCGGACAGTTCAAATTCCTCGTAACCAATGTGAAATAAACACGTTAATATCTTCGTTAGGAGCTAGTTTCAGTAATTTTCGTTGCGCGAATCGTGTTCTACGTGAAATTTTGGTTAAGATACATGTATCAGAATGCTTTAATTCGTACCTTGTCTGGTGGTCCATTTTTGATTTTTATTTCGTCACATTTTAAATTTTGAAGGGTGCTTGGAGGAGAAAATTTCACGAGGAAACCAATGAAACCGCTTTTGAAACCTCAAAGTTTTATATGTACGGAGTTATGAGCTTTGAAAGTTTCCAAATTTTGTCCGAGCTCCCTCATCGACTCGATCCACTTCGCGTCGGGTCCCGACCCCCGCGAATAATCGAGATTCTACATATTTCACGGACGGATCTTCAACATCTTTTTCGGTAGATGGTTGGTAAAATAAAGTTGAGATCTACTAATCGATCTACTAACTACGAATCGGTGTGCAGTCGCGTGGGAGCGACCCGGCACGCGCGCGGTCAAAACAGTTCGAATCAGACCTAATTCCTGATTCCGGCTTGAGGCGGGTGCGTTGGACGTTGGAGTAGCCAAATCAGTCGGTATCCCACTCTTGTCTCATACTCCAGTAAAAAGGAAGAACGCCGTATGAACCTTCAGACGTTGCCAAATTTCCTCCAGTAAAAATCAAATTTACGGAGAAAATTGTGAATATTTTCCCTGAAATTTTTCAGTCAATTTTGTTCACGGTCTAATCTAAGATATCTGAAAATTTCGAGGAAGAATATGAATATAAATTTCCTCAAAAATACATGTTTTAATCGGGGAAATTTGGCAACTCTCGAATGTTCATACGGCGTTCTTCCTTAGCACGGCAGAGCAGCGGTAAGGACACCGATGCCGTGAAGACCGTTCTTTTCGACTTGTTAGGCATATTGCAGCGATTCTTTTTGAAGGAGTTTTGTAACTGTGCTCCGGATCCGTACTTGTTACGCATATCGCTTCTACTCTTTTTGAAGGAGTTTTGTAATCGTGCTCCGGACTTTTTGAATGAGCTTCGCCCTCTTGAGAGCGAGTCTTCAGAAAGATCTGGAAAATAATTTTTTAAAAAATGCTGAGTTTACTCTTTATTTAAAATGCTGCGTTTTTTCTGTTGCAGGGGACACGAGTTTGGGTCCCTCATCCAGATTTCGTGTGGGAAAGTGCCCTGGTTGTCGCAGATTACAAGGAAAAGGTCCTCGAGGTCTCTCTAGAAAATAGCAAAGAGGTGAGTTTTTAGATAATCATCGTATAATCTAACGTTACTCTGTAAATTTAATGCAATTCGTTTTGTTTTAGTTTCAAACCATGTAGATAGATACTTGGAAATACTTGTAGTAGTTACGTTATATTTAAATAAAATTCCTTCAAAAAAGAAAAAAAAAGAAGAAGAAAAAAGAAAGAAAAAGTGAGTTTAACATTGATCCCTGTACTTTAGAGAAATGTCAGGGTCATTGGCTTGAGCCGTGAAATGAGCATAGAGTCAAAGAAAAGTAACTTTTCTTATAGAAAGGAATTGACTCTTTTTTAAAGGACCGAGAGAGAAATAATCGGCATTCGGCTGCATCTCCAATTAATTTGATTGCTTGCTAAACTTTCTCAGAAAAAAATAGTATCTGAAATTCCTCACCTTTTTTTGTTGGTTTTTTTTTTTCGCCTTCAAAGCAAGACTGCTATCCTGACGTGCTCTTCTCTGTTTTTATGTTTTTAAGATGAGAAAATTCAGAATATTTTCAATGTTGACTCAACTTGTCAGTAAGATTCTCATTCATAAAAACTTTATATAGTTCTAATAAGCGAAAATTTCTCTGCATTCATAAATAATGTCATCGAAGCAGCAAGAGTTTCTGGCATTATGAAATTGACAACATTTCTTTTTCTCTGAATCATTTATTGTTGTTTTTTTCCTAACTTTCACCAAGAAGAGGAATTTTTATAAGCATTCAGTAGTGACTATTTACTTCGTAAAAAAATTAATGAAATTTAATGCAGCAATTATTTATGTTTTTTTTTGTTAGCTAAAAAATATACCAATATCATCTGATGCAGACCTTCCTCCATTGTGCAATCCTGATATTCTAATCGGACAAAATGATCTCACCTCTTTATCCTATCTACATGAACCAGCTGTGCTGTATAATCTCCAAGTCCGATTTGTCGACAAATGTGCTATTTATACTTATTGTGGTAAGTTCAAATTTTTCCTATGTAATTATTTTGCCTTGTCAAGTTGAATTGCCTGTTTGTCAAGGAAATTGACCTGTAATTATCGTGCATAAAACTCGGTGCTGTTGTCATGCCACTAAATTATGAATCCTCACCTAGTAAACACATACTCTTGAAAGAAAGAAAAAAAGAAAGTAAAAGGAAGAAAACCTAAGTTAACACAGAAAACTCAGGAGACTTTCTTTCAGTTTGTATTGTGTAACAGATGAAAATTTGTTCCCATCATCTAAGAAAAACTTTCATCATTGGTCACTGAAGTGATTGAGTGCTCTGATTTTCTAATCCGGACGGATCAATTTTTTGAGGTAGATGTTCAGTTTTTTCAATAACATTCTTTCGGTTGGTTTTTGTTCTTTCAGGAATTGTTTTGGTGGCAATCAACCCTTATTCTGAATTACCTATTTACGGCAGTGATACAATATGGGCTTATCGGGGCCAAGCAATGGGAGATCTGGAACCACACATATTTGCAGTTGCAGAAGAAGCGTATACAAAAATGGAAAGGTGAGAATATTTTCCCATTTTTAGTGAGGGCTATGGAAAATACATTGGTAATAAAATTTGCCCTGAACCAAGTTCCGAACTTCAATTTGAAAACTCAGTCTACCCCTCAAACAGGCAGGTTCTTTCTTAAGTTCACTAGTGTAACTGATTTTGCTTAAATGTGTCCAAATATTGAAGATTTGCAGTCACTTTTGTGACACCCTGTTGGTTTTTTTTAACCTGTAATTTGAGCCTCTTCATACTCCGTTAAAAATAAACATTTAGACCTTACCCAAAGAGTTTGCTCTTATGCTCGTCCCTCAGGAAGTTATATAAATTTATCTTCTCTATTTTTAGAGAGAAACAGGACCAAAGTATCATCGTGTCTGGAGAGTCTGGGGCTGGCAAGACAGTGTCTGCAAAATATGCCATGCGATATTTTGCTACTGTTGGAGGCTCTACAACTGAAACCCAAATAGAGAAGAAAGTCCTAGCTTCAAGTCCCATCATGGAGGTAAGATATTTTTCCATGATTTTCCCCTGCTTTTAATTCCAAAAGTCGCTCAAATTAAATTATATTTGTTCTACAAATGTAACTCTCTCTTTATCAGAAGATTATTGCCTCATTTTTTTTTATCAGCCCTCTCTTATACATTTATTCTACTGAAAGATCCCTCACATCCATAGTGGAAATGAAACATGACTCATCTCATTTGCGACTTTGCAAACTTCCTGTCTTGTTTCTTTTCCTAATTCGATAATTATTATTAAGCAGCATTTATTGAAAACTGATGAGATTTTTCTTCTCTTTGTGAAGAATGTTCCATGAAAATTTTCAACAGTTGTAACCAGATCTGTGAAAAGGAATATTTTCTGAAAGATAATTTTCCGCTTGCAAAAACTTGGACGTCGGTTTTCTACAACCTAAGAATTTTTGTCCTGAAACTTTAAAACTCTCATATTTTTCAATTTTTGAGGTTTCAGGGTTAAACTTGTGCCAAAATTTCCATTTTTTTTTCTCTGTGCATTTACAAAAAGTTCAGGGAAATTTTCTCCCCAAAGAAAAGGTCCTTTTTCACTGATTGGCCACAATTACATAAATATTTTCAATTTTAAAGAGAGAAAAAAAAAGTAGTGGAAATTTTAAAACGCCATAAATGACGCACAAGGTTTTCTATTTTCTCTATCGACCTTATAATTATACTTTGTCATGCTTGTATGTGTTCATACTTAGGCCCATTGTACATATTATTGATTTCTCTTCACCAGTTTTTTTCATTTTAGTCATCTTATTCCAAATGAGCTCATACATTGTGCGTCTTACTTTTTCAGGCTATTGGTAACGCCAAGACCATCCGCAATGATAATAGTTCAAGGTTTGGCAAATTTATAGAACTTCAATTTAGCAAAAATTACAACATAAATGGTGCAAGTATGCGAACGTATCTCCTAGAAAAGTCAAGAGTAGTTTTTCAAGCCGCAGAAGAACGAAATTATCATATATTTTATCAACTTTGCGCTTCAAGAAGTAGATATCCTCATCTTAAATTAGGTATGTATGCGATGTTTCTCTGAAACTTCGATTTCTTTCTTGGAGACAGCTTAAATCTCTAAAACCTCCTCTTTTTCATTTTCTCAAATTTTTTAAAGTATTTGTCACATTTTCTTGAAAGTGAACGAATTGTGACGTTAGTTTTTGTTAAAACGAAATAGGGACAAAAAATGAGAAACATTCATTATATTGCAATTTAAGTTAAACTGATTATTTTGATGTGTCTGGGGATAAATTTTTAAAAGCGAAATGGTTTTTAATGCTTAGAATATTTTCTGAAAATAATGTTATTGAAGACATAAGTATAACACCATTGGCTGATGATGCAGCCATTGGTGTCATTGATGACTTCTCCATTGCAACAATTAAGTCTCATGTATCTAAATGAAAAAATTTTAAGAACCAGCTAATGACAAATAAAATATGTAATTAAACGTATTTCTGCCAAAACGAACTGCGTGCAACATCGTTCCTTTTAGCATAAATACGTCTGGTTCGAAAACACCCCCTCTTCTTTTTTCAAATGTAAACTTTTTGACCAACACTGCCGGGTACTTATTAGTCATAGCTTTTTATTTCCATGAGAATTTCTTTTTTTGAACTTAGAAGTAATTTTCTGTAGGAAATATAGGTTCAGGGTTGTCTAACTTAAAAGAGGAAAGTCATAAAAAGAGTTTTAAGAAGTAGGAGATGAACCTCATGATTCAATCGTCCAAGAAACATATCTGCCAAAAAGTGTTAGAGCAAAATGTTTCCAAAATTCAGGGGAACAGAAACTTTCCGACCACGCGACCGGCCCAATGATTGTGTGCTAGTCACGTGAAATGGAGTAACTGCCATAAAAAGAGATAAAGCAGGGTAATCCTGTGGCAAATATGGTGTAGTAGTAATAAAAAAATCTAGTTTTTCAATAAAATACGTTTCTCCCTCTTTTTTTGTCTTCTTCTTTTTTTTCTTCTTTTTTTTTGTCTTCAAGGGGAAACAATCATGAATTTTAATGAAAAATCCGAGCATTGACAGATTTTGAGGGAAGACTAATTAAATTTGGAGAAGGCTTGGAACTTTCTGCACCTCTCCGAAAGTCTGACTGGGTCCTTCATACTAGGAATGACACTTAATCTCACATCATAAACAATTTTATATGAATCTGTTTATTTCATCAATAATATCAGTTCGGTGGTAACTGTTTTATTTTTTTCCCATTTTCAGATCAAGCCAAACAGTTCATGTACTTAAATCAAGAAGATAGCATAGCAGGAATAGACGATGAAGTTTGTTTCAACGACACTTTATCCGCCTTCACGACGCTTGGCTTCTCGGAAGCCGACATCAACGACATGTTGAAGATATTAGCTAGTATTCTACACTTAGGCAACATCTCAATTTTGCAAGGCTCCCACGTTGGTGACCGAGGGGATGCAGACTCAAGTTACATTTCTGTAAGTCCAATTTACCATTAAAGTCTTCATGTTTAATATTAGTTTCTGCGCCAAAATGCAAAACTTGAGGACTCCATCATTTTCTGCTGTTCTGCGAAATTTTCATTCTGTACTTAAATGATTTATGTATAGTGTAAAATGTAAAATCTGGATGCAGTCGCAATAGCATCATCAGACAGGAGGAAACTCTCCTCTCCTCTCCTCTTCTTCCTGTGTTGTTTAAAATAGACACATTTAAAAATTTGATCATGGAACACATATAGAGAAACAAGATATTCCTGTTGTCGTAGAAAAATGGTAGGACAAAAAACTTTAATACAGTACACTCTTTAAAGAATTGGCAAAGGACCGAACGATCTTTCGTTATAGGAAATTTTTTGTCATAAAGAGCGACAATAATAACCAAGGAAGTTCAAGGGACAATGATTCTTTCATTCTAGAGAAATTTTCCTTGTAATAAGAGTTGCTGTAGAGAAAAATTTTAAACCGTTCAATCATAGTAATTCAAAGTGAAGTATCCAAATTTTATCCAAAAGAAAAAGAAAAAAAGACAGTAGGAGCCAAAGAAAGCAAGATGAAAAAGAGGGTCATCATTCCCCCTCCAAATTCTGTTCTTGTAATTATTTTTGTTAAAACTATAAAAGTCATTATCACAACTCCACCAGTGCTCAAGCAATTTTTAACTGTTTGTCCCTTGTATTTTGCCTCAGACAAAAGTTTTGACCTCATTTTTCAGAGCTTCTACAATATAAATTATATTCAAACCATTAATATTTTTTTCTCTCTCTTTTCTGCTCAGGAAAAGGATTTTCATCTAAAAACGCTCACAGAATTATTAGATTTAGATATTCAAGAATTAATGAAATGGTTATGTCATAGAAGAATAATTAGCATGAGAGAAACCTTCGACAAAGATATGAATATGAATGAGGTAAGTTTCTATTTTTTACATGAACATTATTCTGACTATCATTTTAACTCTTAGTTGGCAGTTATCTATTGAAATTCATGCATGTATTTCTTTCCATATCGAAAAATGAAGTTTCATCGAATTGTTCTTTTTGGAATTTTGTTGAATGCATACATAATTTATACATAATCTGTAATTTCATTTACATTTACTTTTTCAATATCGAATTTGGAGCACAATGTTGCCATTTTTTAGTGAATTCGTTCATTATTCTATTTAAGTCTCAGAGATTTCTCCGATTTTCCCTTTAAACATACTTCAATTCAACCCGAAAGCTACCAGATTTTTGGGGACAATGACAATACATAGCAATAATTCAAAATTTTTATGTTTATTAATATGGCGATAAATGCAAATTAAAGGATAAAATTTCAAGTCTTAGATGTAGGTTAATCTAGGATTTGACCCAACCTATCCTGGTAGTTTATTTTTACTTTTTTATTTTCATTCCTTTTTTTTATTTTTTGTTTTACAGGCAATGGGAGCAAGAGATGCCCTAGCGAAACACATCTATGCTCAGTTATTTGCGTGGATAGTCAGTCAAATTAATCGATCCCTGGAATCAAGCGACGCTAAGTACAAATTTATTGGTGTGTTAGATATTTATGGATTTGAAACTTTTGAAACAAATAGTTTTGAACAATTCTGTATTAATTATGCCAACGAAAAACTACAGCAGCAGTTCAATCAGGTATGAAATGAAATTTATCTATTGTAATGGTCCCTTTACTATAGTGTTCTTTTTTTTTTCTCTCCTCACCTTATCCTCACAATTTCCAAGAATTACTGCGTAGAACTCACTCCTTTAGAGTAGCAATGGCCAAAGTGCAAAACCACATATCTCCAATACGATGTTTCAAAATTTCATTTCTTTCTCTCTTCACTTTAGCCTCACAATTACCGAGAATGGAGAATTTGCATGGAAATTTTTTATTGCTTCATCTGAAATTGCCTAAAGAGCTGATTTCACAGTATCTTTTATAATTTTTTTCTGCTATGGGAAATAGTATAAAAATAGATTTAAAAGTGAGAAAATGCACCGCCTAGTGATATCATCTGGTATTTTAGTAGATTAGGTCATTTAGTCATATCTTCTCCAACAATTGTTCAATTCATGAGCCAAGAGTATCCTCAGTCTACTTAAGGTCACCAAGTTCACCATAAGTTCACTCAGTAGTTTCCACTTGAACACGAAATTCATCAAATTTCAGTCACCTGCAAATTGTCTATTATTGACTTAGAACTCACTCCTTTAGAATAGCAATGGCCAAAGTGAAAAACCACGTATCTCCAATACGATGTTTCAAAATTTCAATGCCCCACAATTATATTTGACCCAAAATCACCTCCAAGTATAATTCATCTCTAACTTTTATGTTCGATTCCAGCATGTCTTCAAATTAGAGCAAGAAGAATATTTAAAGGAGGAAATAGAATGGAAGTTCATAGATTTTTACGATAATCAGCCATGCATTGATCTCATCGAAATCAAACTCGGAATTTTGGATCTCTTGGATGAAGAGTGCCGGGTAAGTTACCATTTCATCAACTTTAAATACTTTCGCTGAAAAAAAGTTGCCTTTGCGTATTTCATGATGCTAGCAAATGTAATTATGGTCTGTTTGATGGGGTTTTATGTGAATAATGCTGATATTTTCATGGAAATATTTGCAGAACATGTTCGAAAATGAAATTTGATCGTCCCCAGGAAACGAAACCTGTCCATTGCCCTAAGACCTAAAGTTATCATATCAAAATTACGATCAAGTTTCCTCTAAAGTCAGCTAAAACTTTGTGGAAAAATTTTAAAATATTTCTTGTTAAGCAAAAAGAACGTCTCGACAATTGGAATTCCATCTTAACATTGTTGAATCCACCAAATTTCCGAATGATTCTCAAGGCACTGCACGTACCCATGGAACCATGAAAACCTACAGCTTGAGAATTTTACAAACAATTTATACTTGATTGAGTCGTTTCATTATGTCTTTCAGGTTTGTTCAATCCTACAAATGGACGTATTTCTGTCAAACGGAACTAAGCGCCAATTTGAGTTCCTTTTGAGGAATTTAGAATGCCGGATAGCAAGTTCTGACAAACGGAACTAAGCGCCATGGAAAAGTATCGCGAGTATAGGACGGAATGAGCGCGATGTCTGGTTCCGCTGCCAATCCAAGCCCTCCACTACCTTCCCCCTCCCATGGCGCTTAGTTCCGTTTGACAGAAATACGTCCAAATGAGTTCACTTGTATTTCACTTCAAAATATTTTATACAACCATCCGTTTACTCCACCTCTAGACTTGTAGGTCTCAGCAACACAGCCAAGCTCTCTCTTTTCATTGTCTCATTCTTGTTAAGTTGCGATTTTAGTCATAGTAAATTTATTATTTTATAAGGAAGTATTTTAGTTTGAAAATTGGTGATCCAAGATTATCTTCAAAAATGTTTGTTGCAAAATAATTTATGTTTTAAATGTTATTTCCCTAATTTTTAGATGCCAAAAGGAACAGACGCCTCATGGGCGGACAAATTGTATAACAAATGTGAGAAGTGGCAACATTTTTCAAAGCCAAGATTCGGTAAGGCTTATATTAAATTGAAAACTACCCCTATTTCTGTTTTATCCCTTCTTTCATTTCTCTTACTCTCCCTTTGCCCCTCTTTTTTAATCGTAAATTTCGATTGTTTTTCGGAATTATTGATCAGGACGAAATAAATTAAAAAAGCCAACACAAATGAAGAACAGAAACGAGGATAGTAATACAGGAGAAACATTCTAATGTTACTGATGCAGCTTTTTTTAAGAAAAAAAACACTTTTCAAAGTAGGACCGTATTGTAACAATACCTATTCACTAAACTATTTTTTTTTTTTTTTGAAGAAATTGTATTTAAATATAACGTAACTACTACAAGTATTTCCTTGTATCTATCTACATGGTTTAAAACTAAAACCAAACAAGTTGTATTACATTTTCAGGGTAACATTAGATAATACGACGATGATTACTAAACCATCTTGATTGATACTGCATTCCTGAAGAAAATCTCCCTGCAGCCCAATTATTTTTACAACGATAATGGCATCTATAAGTTGGTGCAGAAAAAACTTTTCAATCAAAAACCCAAAGTTGTTGCAATGGTTTCATCGATACTGAATTCCTGAAGAAAATCTCCCTGCAGCCCAATTATTTTTACAACGATAATGGCATCTATAAGTTGGTGCAGAAAAAAGTTTTCAATCAAAAACCCAAATTTGTTACAATGGTTTCATCTCGATTATCAATAATGATAACCTTCAGGCATTGCTGTCATAGTGGAAAGTAAATCAATCAATTAATCGACTTAACAGTGTCAACAAGTGCAGCAAGCAGCGCAAGTGCAATTGTCAAGCAGTGTAGTAAATTTTTTTTTTTCGTTTTACGCAGCTTGTATTATTTTCTCTCTTTTTTCTATTTTTTCCAGGCACCAAAACATTCAGTATAAAGCATTTTGCGGATCTTGTAGAGTACGATACTGCTGGATTCTTAGAAAAGAATAAGGATACTGTGATTGAAGAACAGGTAAGAAAGCTTTTTTTAATTCTTTTGAGATTGCTGAATATTCTACGCCTCTATTTTTAATTGACGTTTGTACAAATACATGTTGCTCCTTCCTGTTGTAATACATTCCTTTCTCATCATATCTTTTTGCCCAGCAATGTATTTTTTTCTCAAATTGTTTTACTCTTTTTTAGGTGAATGTTTTAAGGAGTAGCCGGAATCAATTATTGCGACATTTATTTGTCGAGTCCGAAAAGAAACTGGCTCCCCAGTATGCTGCAACGATTGGCCACAGTGGTCGAACCAAAGTAGCAGTATTACCTCAAAAATCACCCTCCGCAACTCTAGGGTCCTCTGCTAAACAGCATAAAAAAACGGTGAGTTTTATTTGCACCCACAAAATGTTTAAGTAAAATTCAAGCTTGACAAAACACACTAATAAATGTAATTCAAATGTAGACAAAATTAAGGAAAAATACAGTGAAACTTTGGTTTTACAAATGTCTAGAGACTGGCGAAAAAAATTTGTCAAATTGAGAAGACCTAAAATTGGGCTTCCAATTTTAGGTCCTTAAAAATCCAGAAATACAAGAGTTGCAAACATGAGTTGGATTTGCATGGTAAAGATCATACTATGGAAGACTTCCTTCATTATGTCGAATATTTGTCAAACAGAATTGGGAAGATTAGGGATTTTTTTGGGTTCGAGAATGATGTTTGCTAATCAAAAGAAATCATCAAATCAAGGTTCATAAAATTAAACTTTTACTGAATTGGAAGAAAATAGATACAGGGGTCACATTAATGTATCCATTTCTAATGCCTCTCAGTTTCTTCTCTCTTTTGCCAAACAAAGTATCAGCATTCCGTTTGCTGCAAAAATAGAAAGAAGAGAAAAAAATTGAACCAAAAGATAGATTGCAAAAGCATCAGTCGTAGATTTGCTGCATGTGATAGTCGCAAATTTCTCATTTATAATATTTTATATATTTATACAATTTGTAATTTATGTATGAAGTGTGTAATGTAATGGAGTAAAAATGAATGTGACTGATTAGAGAAATCAAGGTGGCCCATAAAATGTAAAATTGGGGTTTTAATCAAGAATATGAAAATCTGATCTATCTGGAGGGCGCCCAATGAAAGGTTGGGGGAGGGGATTGAAGCGGAAATGTTAAGGTGCCCAAGACTTGTGGTTCAACAGAGAGCAGCGGAGGTTAGGAGTCGTAGAGCGCGAGGGAGTGCTGTAAAGCGACCTATATGTATGTATGTATGAAAATCTGACTTACAACAAAAAATGTTTTACTTCTGTTTTTAAGAAGTTGCTCCGTTACTCTCAATTGACTCTGTCATTTCTTGTTATCTACTGTTTCTGTTTTCATCTTGTAGACCTCCTAAGACCTCCGCTGACCCAAGGGGGACCGGCGCGAGTCATTTGATTTATGTTTGGGAACTATCAATTTTATTCAGAGAAAGTTTACGTCTTTTAGAGTCAGATAATTAACTGTACATTCAATTATCACAGGAACATTTGCATGAATTTGAGCAGAGTTGATTTTGATGTATCCCTTCTTCTAACAGTAAACTAAATCTTCTTTAACAATTTATCTTCAGGTTGGCTCACAATTTCGAGATTCCTTGAATGCTTTAATGGTCACTCTGAACGCAACCACTCCACATTACATTCGTTGTATCAAACCTAACGACTTCAAACAGCCTTTTGAGTATAATCCAGTGCGAGCCGTTCAACAGCTCCGTGCATGTGGTGTCTTGGAAACCATTAGAATCAGTGCGGCAGGATTCCCATCAAGGTACTTCTTTATTCAAAGTGCTCGATTAGCTGTAATATTTTCTGTTGTGATTTTCAAGTCCTTAAAATATCTAGCCCATGAAAAAAGAAATAAAAATATTCATGTTCTTTGTTAAAATTATTCTCTCTGCTCTGAATAATTTCTGCACATGCCTCTTTAAAAAATACGTACCTCTCATTGTTTTGGTTGCGACCTATGTTTTTTATGTCCCAGAAAAAAATTCTCCTTAATTAGCATTGTCTGGTCTTCAATACCAAAAAAACGTGTATAAAAAAACTAACTTTTTAAATGTATGAAGTCAAGTGTGAACTAAAGTACTAAGCACTTAAGTAGTCATAGGATCCTATTTTCACAATAAGTGTGCCTGTTTTTAAGGTATGCTTGATTTTCATTATTTACGTTTTGATCACATCAAACAAAAGATCCTTCCTATTTTTAAAAATGTGTTTTTTCTTTTTTTTTCTTCACGTAGATGGACTTATTTTGACTTTATGAAGCGTTACAGAGTTTTATGCAGCGCAAAAGATATTGATAGGAATGATATGAAGAAAACTTGCGAAAGAACTCTGCAGAAGTGTATCAAGGTTATTATAATAATTCCATATATAGATATTATTATTCTAAAATCAATTTTTTTCCTACCGTTATGAAACCTCTTACAATTTTATGTTTGCTCAGTAATAATTTTATATTGTTTACAGTAACTTTGTTTATATTTTAGGGTTCTTAAATATTATTAATGCCAAACATTTTAAAGACAAAGAAAAAGACACATCTGGAAAGTTTATCTATGAAAGCGATTTTAAAATACTAGCGAAAGAATATTTATTTTAGAGAATATATTTACCTCAGACTGTCAAGACGTAAAAAGTGCATGCTAATGATGTGAAAACACCTTTCCAAATGCATCAATATTTAAAAATATCACCTCAAGTTCAAAATTTTTGAAAAATCACAATAAATTTTTCCAAAAGTGCTGATTTAGAAAAAATGAAGTTCTATTTTATCGTAAGAAAGAGGTCTTGGGGTCACAGGCATCTTTTATTTGTATTTTTTTTTCCATTTCATTGAGAAAAAATAGCCAAATTGCGTATAGTTCAAAAAGTGCCCAACTCCGAAATTCATTTTTTTTTCTAGAGCTAGGCACTTTTTGTAACAAGCGATTCAAATCTGCTAGTAAATTATGTGCTTTTGTCACTCAAAGAATGGGTCAACCTTATTAAAAAAAATTGATATTTTTTGTTTTTGTTTTGATGAGTTTAAGTGGTAAAGAACCGAGCTTGTGCAATTGTGCATATTTTCTTTGCACCCACCTTCAATTTTTTGAACTGTAATGACTTCTAGTATAAGCAAGCTCATCTCTTTATTTTGTCATTTCAGAATCAGGAAAAGTACAAATTTGGAAAATCGAAAATATTTTTCCGCGCCGGTCAAGTTGCGTACTTGGAGAAGCTACGTGCGGATAAGCTTAAGCACTGTTGTATTATAATCCAAAAAACTGTTCGAGGGTATCTAGCCAAGAGAAGATACCAGAGAATCAAGAGTAGCACTCTGACAATACAAAGAGTTGTCAGAGGTTTCTTAGCCAGAAGGTAATGTTAAAAGACTGTATTTTTTTTTATATTTTCTTACACCAACCTATTTCAATTGAAATACCAAGTGAACAAATTCAGAGTACACGGTCGATAAAAGGCACATATATTTGGCTGCACTGGGCCTGGTCTGTTTACTGTACAATCAGTCTCAGTCTTTCAATAACTACAAATAGACAATTTATTTTTTTTCTTTCTTTTTTCCGGCTCCTATCGCATTCGTAACTTTTTTAAAACGTTCCAGTTCCTATTATGTAACTTTTTGTTTTTGATCTTTTTCACTTTGTAAAGCCTTTCCCCGGATTAAGTCGTTATTTTACTGCTTAAAAGACAGTTGATTGCAATCCTAAAGTTATTCGTAGCTGGAGCAGAATGAAATCTCTTCGGTTTTTGAAACCTGGAGGATTGAAAAAGGACCCTGCACAGAAAACCCTGAGATTTTGTGCAGGTTGAATTTTTTTCTCAGTTGATATGATGTTTTTTACAACCCCCTGGACATGATGAGCCTTTATAATCAAACTTTCTTTGCGCTAATTTTGAGATAAGTGATGCTGGAATGAGAATTTTCTGGCATTTTTAAATGCGTCTCGGTATAAAAGCGTAATACTACTCTTGGGTTGAAAATGTGGAACTTACTCTTCTGAAGTAGTCAGTGCGAAAAATGCTACTCATCTATTTTATCATCCTGGCTGGTGAGCAAGGAAAGAGAAGCTCTCCGTAATGACCAGCATATTTGTCAAATGATACGTGTCAAAATGTTGGAAAATTCTATTTTAAGCCCTGTTTTCCTCAAAATCGGCGCCAAAGAATTCTTTTTTTAAGCTCATTGTCCTCAAGATGGAAGAGGTTAGGAAGAACAAGATATTTAATAACGACAAATAACTGGCGTAGAATACCTTGGTTTTCCTTGCAGGGTCCTTTTAATAATTTTGGGATACAACTGTGTTCAAAAATTCAAGATTAATTCACAGAAATTCTGAGAAAGCTCCATCAAAATCTGGTATCTCCGCACCAAATGCTGTCCTGGAGATTTAGGTCTAATAAATTTTCTCGTGGTTAAGCAATTATCCTGAGAAATTCGAAGTGGCCTCTTTTAAACTTAGCTTTTTTCCCCAGGCGTGTACATCGAATACGTCAATTAAAATCAGCCATCATCATTCAAAAACGAGTGCGTGGCTGGCTCCAACGAACAAAATACCTCAGGTTACGAAGAACCGCCTTCGGCCTTCAAAGATATGGAAGAGGCTTATTGGCACGCAGGAAGTTCCTAGAATTGAAATACAACAAAGCGGTGAGTTTTTGGAAAGCGAAGTTCCAAATAAGCATGAGCTAAAGTTTTCGATGTATTCAATTTTAATTTCAGAAAAATTGCAGCAGAAAAGGCTTTAAATCTACAAAGCCCTAAAAGTTTACTTACTCAAGATTCTTCTCTTAATATTCAACTTCTGCTTAAAAGAATCCTATGCAAAAAATAAAAAAAAGCAATTCCAACTATTTATTTTGTCGAGATAAAACCTTAATTTTCCTTTACTCTCTAAAAACCAGTCATAAAAGAAATTCTAGTCATGATTGAATTTTTCTCAGACTTAATTTGTTTTGATTAAGCTCAATTTTCTTAAACTTTGTCTTAGAATTACAGAAAAAAACTGCTTAAAAAGAATGAGCAGTTCATACTTTATCTCTGAGAAATTTTTAAAATTGTGTACGGTTTTATCATCATTAGTGACAAATTTTATCCTTCTGAATCTCCGCTTTTACTTTGTTTCTTTTAGTTTTTTTCTTTTTACATTTTTAACGTGGAATTGCAATTATTATTAATCAACTTGTCTATTCAAGTGTGAGGTTTGTCATGAGGAAAGTACTTTTCCCATTGCTGTACCCCCTAGTTCTTATGTTCATTTTACTCCTTTTCTGCAGGCTCTCGTAATTCAAAAACGAGTGCGAGGTTGGCTGGCCAAGAAAAAATACAAGGAGGACCTTCAAAAAATTGTCATCTGCCAGTCTGCTATCAGGAGGTTCCTAGCTCGCCGAAGGTACAAGAAGCTGAAACGAGAAGCCAGATCTGTCGAACACATCAAAAAATTGAACAAAGGATTAGAGAACAAAATTATATCAATGCAGCAGCGCATTGGAGAACTTGTAAGTTTCAATCTCTATTTTAGTCTCAGTGATCAACTATTTTATCATTGGAATTTTAAATTTAGGGTACACACTCTCAATGTATTTAATACGGGATGAAGTTTTAAAATTTAGAAGATCAAAGTATTTTNGGGGGGGGGGGGGGGGGTTGTGCGTCAACCAGGTTGTATCTAAAATCTGCTCGCAGACACCACAATCCTTAGAGAATTTTGCTTTGGATGAAAGTATTGTGGGAAATTTTCTGTGGCAAGGACAAACTTTCTGTAAATTAGAACAGTTTAAAAGAAATAGTAATGAATATCCATGGTGGAATTCTGAAACCATGACCAAATTCAAGATCTAAAGTTCCACCTTGTGTTTTTAAAGAAGAATAAATTGACATCATCCCTCCAATTTTTTGTAGAATTTTCTTGAAAGATTTAAGTTCAGTGATAGTTATTCTAACGGTTGTTTTTTTTCTTTTTTCAAGACAAAAGAAAACACTTCTTTGAAAACTGCATCACAAGAAAAGAATGAAATGCTAGTCAAGTTAGATTCACTTAAAGGGGCCGACTCTGAGTTGAAGAAACTAAAAAACGTCCTGAACGAAAAAGAAATTGAACTTTCAGCCATAAGAGCGGAACTGAGCAGAGAAAAGAGCGAGAAAATGGACTTGCTCAATGATTACGAACGCGACAAAACAAAGCTTCTGAATGACACGAACAAATTGCGGAGCGAAAATGAACAGCTGAAGGAGAAATTAAGCATCGTCATGGATGAGATGACTGAGAGCAAAGTTAATTTAGAAGGTAATCCTTAAGTTCTTTTTAAGCCTGTTTGAAGGTTGTTCACTCATTTCATTTGGTGAGCATCAATGGCGAATGATACGTATACCGACAATTATTTGGTAAAAGAACATAATTTTTTGGCTATCAAAAAAATTAGCATAAAAAGGAACAAAAATCACTCCGTAACTAGAATGTAATCGTACCGAGGGGTCGTCTTGCACTGTCCAGATTTCTCCAATTTTTAGGGTGTGATCTGACGACCGGGCTAGTCGCCCTTTGGATCCTTGGGTCCTCTAGTTGGACGACAGCTACGGTAAATTGTCGTCAAGTAGTATTTAGGCCAAGTTATTTCAGGCATAACATCACTTAGTGTGGTAGTTTTAGAGACCAATTTCAGTGGGCAAAAATCTTTGTCAAAAATGGAAGGTAGCAGGCAATGCGACATTCTTGTTTCAAATCCTCGTAACTTTTTTGATTTCCAACAATTTTTTTTTCTTGGTCTCTTCAGAAAGCTATTAGGCCTGTGTGTAAAATATGATGAAGAAAAAGCCGCTATGTAGCTTAGTTTTGAGGTTATCGCATTTGTCTCACTACTTTTTGGACAGCCTATGTATAAACATAATGATCTATTGCTAGGAGTTACATTGGTTGGTGTCTATATTTCAATTTGGATTACTATTTCTTTTATAGAAATAATTAGGACAAGAATTGAGCATGAACGTCAAATCCTCATCCGAGAGCAGGATCAAGACAGAGAAGCGTACCAGAAGCTTCTGTCGGAGAAAAATATGCTTGAATCGCGGCTGGAAGCCTTGGAGAAGGAGGGGAACAAAACTGGGAACCTTGACTCTTTCTCATCGCACAATCGATCTCTCTCCGATGCCAGTACAGTGTCAGTCTGTGATCCTGAAAGTAGTGCCAGTAATATGAGCGACCACTCGGAAGAGGTTTGTCTCTTGATATCTCTTCTCCTAAGACTGAGTCGTTTTATTTATGGTGGAATCTCAGCAAGTCTAATGCAGCTCAAGAAAAAATCTTTCCCAAGTCAAAATTTTTTTCTGGTCCCTGGACTCTGCTATAAGGCGCAATCTAAATAACTATCATTCAGATTTACTCCTCTTTTTTCCTGCTAAGGAAAAGTTCTTCAACTCAAATATTTTTTCAAAACTCACTAAACTTTGATTTTTCTCCCCAAAAATAAAAAATAAGAAACAGTTCTAAAAATCATGTAAGAACTGGATCTACAGTAGACGTAAAATGCCACCTTAGTATTGTATAATGCCTTAATGTTATTAAATATTCACAAAAAGCCAAAAATTCAAAAATTTAAGACCTCACATGAGGAGTTTTTGTACTAAGAAATTTCTTCGATAATGTTTTCTTTCAGTGGTACAGCTCTGAAAGCTTAAGAGGAAAGTATTTTATTGATATCACAACCGTGTATTTGCATCGAATTAGATAAAAATTAATGCTCAGGTGTACTCTTGTTAAATTAAGAATAAATTGCTCTGAAAACTCTCTGAAAATTTAAAAAAAATTGCCAATTGAACTTTGTTGGATAAGTGTTGGGCAGGTTAAATATCTGCGCAAAGATCAAATTAGTAATATCTTTAAATTATACATTGTTCCCACGATACGTTTTAAGTGTGCACATTTTCTTAAATTGTATGTGCGTAGTATTACTAATGTACAAAATGTTCAAGTTGTAAATAATTTTTTGTGCGTAATATTAATTCTCTCTCCACTTTTTCCAGAAAACTGATTTGCAGCTAGTCTTGAAATTGCAGCAGAAGGTCAAATCATTAGAAGCAGAAAGAGCGAAGCTTCACAAACGAATTGAAGAGTCTGAAAACTTATCTAGTCCTGAATCTCGAGCCAGTTACAAAGATGCCATTAAGGTGTGGTCTCACTGCTTTTTCCTAAACATTTTGTTGAAGTTTTAAAGTTATTTTTATCTATTTTTAATTTTTAAAGATTAGTACATTAGCCTGAACAGAAAGGCTCAATGCAAGTCGAATTAGAAACAGTTACAAAACAGATGAATATTACAAATTTAAAAATTCTTGCAAGGTGTAGTAAGCGTTTTGTAAAAAGTGCTTTTTTCCCCTTTTAAGATGTAATGTATTTTGAGTAAATCCACTAAAATAATCATCCTAAACATAAAAAATACTTTTTAGGAAGCAGAGATTAAATTCACTTTATAGCATTATATTGTTGTACCAGTGTTCTTCACTTTTTTTATGCCATTTCTAGACTTTCTGAGAAATTACGGCATTTCTTATTGCATGGAATCACTAAGTGAAGATCTTTTGAATGAGGATTGTTTGGCTATGTTCGCCTTTTATGCTTCAATGAAAGCACAACTGGTACCGTTCTCAAGAGTCTTCATTTCTTTGCCCATTTCCTCTCCACTCTCTCTCCTTAACCAAAATTCCCAAAATTTGAGCAGTATCTCACCAAAAAATCTAAAAATGGCATAAAAATGAGTGAAAAATATTGATTAAGAAATTCTAGTTTTACTGGTCAAGAAGATATTGAAACCTCTGCAAAAGCATGATGATGTTTCAAAAGACATTCATATTCTCACAATTTTTCTCGTGCTAACAATTGAGGCATTAAGTGGAGAAAGGGCATATCTCGGTTGCGGTTCAGAATCTCCAGTGCCAATTTATTTCTCAGAGAGGCAATTATTGGGTGAATTTTCTGTAATTCTTCGTTTTCCGCAGTGTAAAATCATAAAGAATATTCAGTAACAGTTTCAACGAATTTCCTACAGTTGCTTTAATTATAACAAATGAAACATTAACTGAGATCTTGAGACACTGCAATCAAGAAATGATCTTTTTGCACCCAGTGTTTCAATTAGTAAAGTAATTGTTTGTGAGCCACCTTTTTCTGGATGAACTCACTCATTGTATCAATATTCTATAAAACAATATTCTTGGTCTATTTTTTTCATAGCCGATTTTGTATGTAATAATTTATTTCTTGGTTTTCAGGCTGCAGATCTAGAAATAGAGAATGAGAAATTAAAGGCAGATTTAACCCAGTTGCGGCAGTGTATTGCTGAAAATTGTGATTCGGCAAACATCGGTGAGATTGCTGTTCAAGAACTGCTGAGTAAGTGGGCTCCCTAACAAATTTATTTTCCAGAAATTTTTCAAAAGAAGTGGAAAATTACCTAACTTTTTTTATGTTTCAATTTAAACTGTAATTTTTTTTTTCTATTCAGCTCCAGTTTCTCAGTTTTGAATAGGTTTAATAGGTTTAGTCCTTATTTTAGGTAACCCTCCCTTAAGTTTAATTAAATCAAGTCATGCGAAAACCGCTTTTTTCCAATTTTCCAATCTTGAGTTTGGTTTGTGTTGATAATACTTTTCGATGTTAGATGCAACCATGATAGTGGTTTAATACTGGTTTCAGTGTTATCGTAATCGCAAAACGAGTCTTTGCACCACTTTCATGATTGTATCAACTCTTGAAAAGTATATTGAATGCTAAAAAACTTAAAGTTGAAAAAATATAAATCAGTGGTGTTTGCATGACAAGACTCAATTTTACGGTGATTTAATGATTTTTCCTTTTGTATATCTTATTTTTCCACAGGGTGAGCGTAAAATTTTAAATGAATGCTAGTAAAAATAGTTGGAAAAGGACCAGAACCAGTTGAAATCTTTTCAGTGGCATTCACTCAAAAGAATCATGGCATTTTTCCTATTATGCCAGATATCAATGATATAGCAATTTTCAAGGCCCAGTTTACCATTTTTTTCGAGACAGTATTTCGGAATAAAGCACTGGAACAGAACAAATCTTTTGTTTGATTTTTCAGCTACTTTAATTAGTAAGTTTATTGTTATGGCTGCTAAACTCCATTTATCATTTTTTAACTGTATCAATTTTCAGGTCAGTTCAGTTCTTTACAATCGGAACTGACTCGTAAACGGGACGAGTGTCTGCAACTCCGCGGAGTTTTACTGAACAACACCGAGAGTATTAAAAGTGTCGCCACTTCTAATTATTCTACAAAGAGAGATGTTGATATCATCAATGAAGATGGAGAATTGGCAATTGCATTCGAAGCTCAGAAAAAGATCAACAGGTCCGTAAAATTTTGACCACTCGCTTCTTTTAAATTTCCTCAGGAGGAGGATATAATAATTGAACATATTGATGCAAAAGAAAACTGTGTGAAAATTAATAAAATCAAAAGAAACCTTGATGCACGTAAATCATATGCACATTGTCTTTTTTGATTGAATTAATTTCAACATAGTTCTTTTTCACATAAAGAAGTCCAATTTTATAGTTGGGAGTGTGTCTTCTTTTTTAAAATTCATTCCTGTTAATAAGTGTAAAAATAAATGGCTTCATTTCTCGCCATCAGTGATTTCATCTAATTTTAGTCAGGAAATCGATTTTCAAAATTGCTAAAAGTCTGATCCCCCTTCAAACCAAAGAAATTCATGGTCTTAAATTTTGTGACATCACTTGTACCAATCTTTTTGTGCACGAATCCACCATTTTTTTGAATGTTCAAAAATTTACCATTCTAAAATAAAGAATGATGAGTTGGATTGCATTTTGCAAAAAGGAACCACTAGCATTGCAATGTTGCTAAGATTGTGCAACTTCTTTTGTCTTTGAGGAAAAACCCGATTATCCATTAATAGTTTATATTTTATTGCTAAAAACTGTAAATTTAAGACAAAAATTACCATCTAAATTTCATAGTTTTTCACGATTTCCGCAATTTTATTGCACAATCTTAGCATCATTGCAATGCTAGTGGTTCCTTTTTGCAAAATGCAATCCAGTTTACCATCAAAAGTTCTATCATTTAAGAATGGGGCAGTGGCATGGAATTCTTGAAGATTTATAAATAGTTTTGTGTTGTGTACATTTCATGAAAAAAACCTTAAAGAACATTATAAAGTTCAAATTATCATTTCTAAGGGTAGGAATAGCTTATCAAAATCCAACCAATGTAAAGCGGACAGTCGAATTGACTTAGCAAGGCAATGCTTGAGCTCAGCCAATCAGCAAATGCCGTTTTCCTGGCCTGGCTACATCATCAGAGCCTGTTGAAACTAACGTTCAAGCAAGTCAATTTTTCAAAACAGGGTTTTTTTTTTCAATTTTGAGTTGAAAAACAAAATCTGAAAAATTCCTAGAAGCTTAGTTCAAATCTCAACGTTTGAAATTGAAAAAAGAAACAAAAAAACATTCGTACCTTGTTTTCAGAACTTGACCATTTTCATTTGATGATTGGTCGTCTAGTGGTAGAACATAACAAAATGATGAATTAATGGTTGAAAATAACAAATGATAAATTGATAGTGGAAAATAATGAAGAAAAATCTGGAAACCCTTTGCAATATTTTGATCAACATAGAAGTAAAAACTCCATGATGAAAATCCCTGAAAATACCAGGATGATTTTAGATTAACTCAACAGCCCCATCACTCAAAGCTAATTTCACTCTGTTCACAGGCAACTTGAGAGAGAAATTGAATCTGAAAAAGCAAAATGGAGTCAGAAGTACGAAGATTTAGTTCAAGAGACAAAGAAACTCAGAGAAGAGAACGAACGGCAGCAGAAACTCCTCTCTGTCAATTTGAACAAAACTCCGCAGTCACAGACGGAATCGATCATGCAGCACGAAATCACCCGCCTCACATCGGAGAACCTCGACTTGCAAGAGAAAGTCGACCACTTGCAAGAAGAAATACGCCGCTTGAAAAGACAGCTCAGCCGTGTAGGAAACCCGCCTGAAGATGAGCCTGCAGTTAATGGCAATAACGTCAAAGTGGAAAACGGCGAGCATGGAAATAATTTGCCGCTGATCAGGAAAAAGGAGCGAAACTATCTCGGGATGATCGAATACCAGAAAGGAGATGAAGACGTCATTATGAGACATTTGATAATAGGTTGGTTTTTATCTTGTTTACTTTTTGATCGTTCATATTTTGTTCTGATCAACACTTTATAATTGTTTTTTACAAAGAAGAAAGCAAATGTACAGAATCATTTGAAAATTTGACCTAATATTTCTTTTGTCATCAAAATTGGTCAGTTGTGCTGGTTACAGAATCATACTTTGAAGTTTGATTCTCGTAAATCAACTAAAAACTAATGAGATCTTTCCAAACGGCAAATTTCTACTACCTGACTTACTTGACAGTACTTTCTATTAACTGAGGTATCAAGCTGTGAAAAATTTGGTTTATGATGTCATCCACCACTGTAGAGACACGCTTGGTTTCTTCCACCTTAGTTCCATCGATTCAAGGAGACGCACACTTACACTGGTTACTCAACATGAAATTCAGATGAAAGCAAGATGGAAGAAACCAAGGGTGTCACTCCTGCGGTGAATAATGTATATGGACGTTTTTAAAACGTGATACCTCAGTTAATATTGAACAAAAGAAGTTGCTGTTCGGACGAATTTGATTATTTTTTGTTGATCTAAAAGAATCAAGCATCAAAACCTGATTCTGTAACCAGCGCAACTGACCCATTGATCCCTTAAAGTTTGATGAAAAGTTTTCACTTGTTAACTGCCAAGCTGGTTCCTTGGGACCAGCACTTTACAGAAACCATTCTCAAATCACCATTCATTTCTCAGAGCACTCTATCATCGCATATTCGAACCTCACGTAACACCTACATCCAAGAGATGCTGCTACCGCTGCCTCAGAGAGATCTCCATTACATATGCGAACTCTTAATTTGCTGAGAATTAAAATTAAACAATATTGAGATATTAGGCAACATAGCATCTATGGCGCTTGTGATACTTTGGCTGGAAGGTGACGATGTCAGTAAAAGTAGAAGAACCATTTTCATCTATTTTTTTGCAATTCTAAAATGTACTTTGTTCTGAAATCTATCCTTCTGTCCGCAGAATTAAAACCCAAAGTTGCTGTCACACTGCTTCCGGGGCTGCCTGCGTATATATTGTTCATGTGCATCCGGCACACTGATTACATTAATGATGACGAAAAAGTATGTCATTTTACTTTTCTCTCTCATTAGAATTAGGTTTTTTCTTGTTCATTTTTTTCTAAAAGAAAGTAAAAAACCATAAGTACCCGACAAAATGTTAATTCCTGATAAAATTTTTGAAAGAGAATGACCCATCATTGTATGTATCGATAAAATAAAAAGAAAATGATAAACTTAATTTAAAAATACAAAGTTTCCTTCGAACTTTTGGTCAAAGCCCAGAACTACATCTCTTAAACCTCTCTGTTTTAAAAAGAGAGAAAGAAAGAAATAATACACCCAATAATTCACAAAATCTGTGACGTATCAATATTTTTTAACACATATAACAGTCGAACATTCTTAAAATTTACAAAAAATTCTTCAAAGTCTTTTGGCGCACAACTAGATTATCCTCATTTAACTCAGCAGCCACAAGCTCATTTTGTTCAATATTTCATATATTGATCCTCTTGCATACAAGATTATAACTTTTTGCAAAAAATTTATCAATCTGAGGGTTGGTTATCTAAACAAATAGATAAAAGAATACACAAAGAGGACTAATAGAAAAAAGAGCAATCCTATTAGTTGAAACTAGTGGATATTATAGACTAGGGGGGAAAATAAAGGACTAATAATAGGGTCTCATGTGGGTTGCCGATATTTAGTCTATGACATATCTACTTAAGCCATTGAAACCACTCCGCTTCCATCAACAGAATCGCACCATTTTCTCTTTGTCTTTTCCAACTATCCATTTCAATAATGAGCCCGCTGGCAACAGTTTGTTACGTTCTTTTTGAATATTTATTAGATGTCCACCCTCTACTCTCAATAGGTGCGTGCTCTGCTAACAGCATTCATTAATCAAGTGAAGAAGGTAATCAAGAGGCAAGCGAACAAGCAACGACAGCAAGACAACCACTCAAATCACTCGTTTGAAGTAACAATTCTTTGGCTCTCCAACACGCTCCGACTTCTTAACAACCTGAAACAGTACAGCGGTGACAAAGCATTCCAAGAACACAACACCAAAACTCAGAACGCTCAATGTTTGCTAAACTTTGACCTCTCCGAGTACAGACAAGTTTTGAGCGATATAGCTGTCTGGATCTATCAGGTAGGTCGCTTCTGAAACCTAATGCCCTTAAAACCCTATTTTTCAAATTTGCCAGCCCATTTGCTCTTTTCCCCAAGATTCTCATGAGTAATGACGATTATTTTTTTCTTTTCTTTCCACTATTTACCCACAAATTGCCTTGATTGCGCAAAAAGACACAAATTACCTCGATTGCACAAAAAGATACAAATTGCCTTGATTGCGCTGAAAGACACAAATTTCTTGTTGCCTTGAGCAGACCTACCGTTTTTGAACATCCCTTTTCACAACCTTCCCATCATTTAAACCTATTTTTGGAGTTGTCTTGTTCTCGGATATGGCAAATTACAACACACAGGTTGCATGGTCAAAAAGCTACCGCTCTCCTATATTACGTAACCATCCGCCAACCTCTAATTAATTTGCCTGCATTTTAGATTACAGTTCTGAAGTTGTTAGTTGATCGATGTGTACTCCTTTTTGTCTTTCAGTCTGTGATTAATTACATGGAAGAGAAAATTCAGCAATTAGCAATCACAGCTGTCCTTGAGTACGAGTCAATTATGAGCCAACCGACTCGTTCCAAGTCCACAAGCTCTGCGGATTCATCGCCAACGTTAAGTCCTCCGAGTGCGTTGCAAGAACAGCTCAGCACATACCATGCAATTCTATGCGCTCATGGAGTCGATTCTTTCGTAATCAATCAAGCGTTCAAGCAGGTAAGCCCTTTTTTCATTCTAACAGATCCTTACAAATTTTAAGTATACAGTAAAACTTAGATAATCTGGTCTCATTGATACTTAGAATTTAGTATCAGAATAAACTCGGAAGTTAAATACAAATTTGAGTTCTTATAATATTTAACTTCTAGGTTTGAAGATATTATCTTTCTTTTATTCAATTTCCTATTTTTCTGTTTTAGCTATTCTACTTTATTTGTGCAAGTTGTATGAATACTCTTCTATTACGCAAAGACCTCTGTAATTGGGCAAAAGGAATGCAAATTCGTTTCAATATTTCACACTTAGAGCAGTGGTGCCGTGATCAAAAATTATTGGTAAGTAGTTCTATTTATAAAATTAAACTAGTGTATTAGAGCAAGAACTCTACGTACTTTGCACCTGCCAAGCAGCTGCTAATCAGATCCTACAAATATTGCGACGTGGAAATGCAAGCAATTTGAACGCTTTTAGTTAATGCAAGGAAACGCAGTGCAGGGGTATAACAATATTTCTTTTGTTAGAATTGTGATAACAGGAAATACACCAGCATTGGCAATGGTGCAAAATTTTGTCATTCTTAATAAATAATTTTTTACTCAGATGCAGTTATTAGAATCAAATTCCAATTCAGCCATTCAAATATTAGTTTGTCTGTCCAGAGTCACTGACTACATTTCCCGATTTATTTTAAATTTGAAGATGTTATAAAGCTCCTCGTAATAAAAAAAGGCTTTATTGAATTCCTGTTTTTCCTTTATCAAGCTAATGAATGTATAAAATAAGTAGATTTTTAATAATATTAAATAGTTTTCTATGATAATTTGATCTCTCAAATGTATTATTTTAGGAAGCACACTAATTGGCTATTCATAACATAAATTACGCTCTAGAAGAGCATTACGTCATTTTGTTTTTAGGTGTGGAAGGCTGGACTTATGTCACAAAAAAGTTACAAAGAGGGTTTAGGGTAATAAATCCAAAATTTAGTGCCACATTTTTTGAGAACAGCCCCTGATTGCATAACTGTCAATGCACCGCTCTCATTTGCGCATTTTATTCAACGAATCAATTTTCATGTTTACAGGATAGCAGCGAAATTCTTGATACTTTGTTACCAATAGTCCAAGCTGCGCAGTTATTACAAGCTAGAAAAACCAAAGATGATGTCGAAAGTATTTGCGAGATGTGCAGCAAAATGACACCAAACCAGGTATGTAATCTATCGGAAAAGACAAAGTTTTCTAATATTCTGTTTGTAGTTTTTCCCAAAGAACTTTGTAAAATGCTACTAGAGGCAAGAATTTTGAAAAAGAGATGGTCTCTCCTGCCTCAAATTATTATTTTTTCATGTAATAATGCAGAGGCTACTAAATTTATTTGTTCAAACTATCTGTGCGATTAGCTCCTGAAAAATCTTTTTGGCAGTTTTTGAAACACATTTGGGTACTAAAAATTACAAGGTGCTCTACGTTTTTCTTTAACATTTTCTTGCCTAATGTCATAGTACAGTATAATTCGTTCAACTAAAAATCTGTTGTCATTACGGATTATAAATTTTGTAAAGTTGAACAATTTTAAATTTAACCCATCCAAATAAAATCTTGTCTGATATTGGGTACAAAGATGAACAGGGCGAAAATGTCTGCTAAAATTAATGTTGATTGTGCCTTTTTAAATTTATTCTCCTTTCCTCTCATGCCTTTTTAAGTGATATTCTTGTTTTCTCTTGCAGATAATCAAACTATTGAACTTGTACACGCCTGCAGACGAATTTGAAGGGAAGATCTCTGTTCAGTTCATACGCTCTGTTCAAGAAATATTAAGCCAACGACCCAAAGATGCTGGACAGGTACTTTTGTCCCTCTATTTTCTTTTTTTAGCAAGCGTTACATGGCAGAGTAAGAAAAATGAAGGATGGTGGGAAAGAATATACTGTCCTTTTTAAATGTATAGCTCTGTTGCCAAGTTTAGGGCAGTTTTCATTCACACATCAGAAGAATAATGGAAAAATCATGTCACGTTAATACCAATCTGATATTTTCTCTTGTACTTATGACTGCTCTTTGGAAAAGGGACTTCATCGCTGGAAAAAAACGTGTTTTTGAATTATTTCAGTACTTAGTACACAACAAATATCAATCTGAACATGAATTGAATCAGTGTGAATGGAAACGCTCCAACTCAGAAAAGTGAAAATATTCAAGAGACAAAAAAACTGCACTGTAAGAGAAGAAGTTAGTCGAAGGAAACTTATTTTTCAATTATTTAAGACACTTTAAAAACCAATTTGAAATAGATGTGTGATCTTTAAAGACCTTTATGGAAATCGAGCACCTACAATGAAGATTGTGTGTATTAAAGTTATCGAGTTGTTGTGTTACCTTTCTTTCTTTCTTTCTTTCTTTCAGCACCGCTTTAAAATAAAATTATATTACTACTACTACTACTACTTTCTCTCTTTCTTTCTTTCTTTTTTCTTTTTGTCGAAAACTCAAAATAAAAATTTTTTTTAAGGGTGTTAAAATGTGAGATCCCTTTTCCTGATAAAAGTCACATTCCAGAGTAGAGTTAATCTTTTTTCTTTGCAAACAAAGGGGCAATAATTTTCTTGAGACTTGATAATTGAATCTGTTCTTTTCAAGAGGGAGTAAGTACATTTTTGAATTAGCCCTGAAGTGCATTACTAACTGGATGGAGCGAAGCAGAACAATCAAAAAACCAACAAACGTTCCATTTCAAAAATTATCGCAATTTTTCATGCTGGTACTGAGGTTACTTCCACAAAATTGTAAAAAAAAACGTCGGTTGGTTTCCTTCCAAAAATCAAAAAAGGAGATGAGATTTTGAAACTCTGCAGTATAGATGTGACTGCCTTGGTAGCTCTATCCAACTCCAACCTTTAACTCATCTAAAATGGACGTATTTTTAAGCAAATGATTAAATTCATAACAATCATCGCTCATGCGTCAATCAAATTACGTCACATCCGTTCCTAATGTATCTAACATCCTTGTTTCTGTTTTCAGCCCCTTCTGTTGATGGACACGAAGCACAATTTCCCTGTACGGTTTCCTTTCTCCCCATCCACAATTCGACTGGAACACATCGAAATACCCGAGTGCTTAAACCTCTCAATGCTGAAGAAAGTCTAAAGATTTCAGACCTCCATTTAAACATGAAGTGTTCATTCTCCGTTCTTTGAGCGTGTCTCAACCTCAGATTTTGTTACCATATTTATTCTTAAGTGTAAGTTCTTTTCCTCTAATCATTCCTAAAATTTATCTTGTAAATATGCATAAAAAGAAAAATAGCTGAATCAACATCGCTAAGTTTTCTACTCGGTCAACTCTTTAGTGTTGTCCTCCGTAAGAATCAAAGTCTTTACCGTAACTGTCCAATGGCTAACCAAAGAAGATTTTTGTAGAATTTATTAGGGGCCTAAAACTAAGAAATTAAATTTCGAAGGTAACAGGCCATTCAAATGATCAAAATGGTTCTGAAATGACCGGTGCAATCGCATCAAAAACTTAGTACCTACATACTGTATAGTTCTAATTGTAATTGTAATTTATCACTAAAAATCCAGTTATTGTTTCTTTCTTTTTCTAAATCCAAAAGTTGTAATGTTTTCATTTTTCCTTTTAATTCATCTTCATTCTCACCACATTCTATTTGTTACAATCTTATTTTAATTTTTTTATTATTTCATCTATTGTTGTTGTCTATTCTGACCAATTTTTTCTCAGAGGACAAACAATATTCCTTTCTGCTCTGAAAAATTGTTGTCTCTTCAATATAGATACATTGTCTGAAAATTAATAGGTAGAGGAATTTAAGAGTTTTTAAGAATTACAAGACTTTATACTTACTTGTAATGATATTCCATGCTTATAAACCTCTGTAACATTATATTTTCCAAAGTTATACATTTTTACTTGTGATGAGGAGATGCTTTTATTACTGAAAACTTCCCATCCTTGTATTTTTAAAATATTTTCAGTCACTTTTAAAAGCAAAAAAGTTACTCTCAGTCAGCGCAGGTTCTCTTAAAAAATGGTGGCTTATAATTAAAAACCTGCTTCAAGGGACACAAAAATTTTTAAATTTCGGGTGGTCCGATAGTTTTTCCTTGTTTTGTTTTGTTTTTTATTTTTGAAAGAATTCGAAGAAATTGCCACGCTATTAATCTGTACACATTTTGTGGCTTTGCGTCTCTTCTTTTATCTAGTCCACCAAGAACATATAATATTAACTTCCCAGTCTTATCCTCATTAATTCGTATCTTCCTCCAACTCCCTCATCAATGACTTGTATATTCTCAATTATATGAGACCAATTCTCAAGTTAATTTAATTATTAAAGCTGCCATAACTTATTGAGTAACCAATTTAAAATTTAATTTCTCTTTTGGCTTTTTCAATCAAATTTGCCCTTTCAAATTATTGCGGCTCTGTTTGGAGACTTTCGTATTTGCATAATATCTGGAATGAAAACGTGGAACATTTCAGTTATGTTGATTTTCGCTGTTCTCCAGAACCAACATCCTTTGTTTCCAGTTTGTTCAATGCTGTTTTTTTGCTTTGCAAACGGAAGCTGGAATGATAAATTGTAACTTTGTTGACAGTGCTTAATAACTTAAAATTGAGCAGCCGTTATAGATGAGGATGAAGCCAATCTTTTTGGCTTCCTCTTGCAACTTAACAAAATTGAACAAGAATATCTCACTAACGCTCAACATTAGAAAAAGCTAAACTTATCGTTTTTTAACCTTCGAAGTATCATCCTCTGATATAACTATCTCCAGTTTCCTTTCCTGTCATCCGGTATAACAAGAAAAAAGAAGATTATCGTAACCATTATTTTTCCTCCCAAGAAAGTTTCTTCTCCCTTTTTGTAATTATCTTTCGTTATCCAAGAATTGGCTCTTTTCTGTGTATTTATCTTTACTGTCTGTTAATTTGTTCATTTTATTTGTGATCATTCTTTGAAAAATCAAATTGAAGACTTAAGCATGTTTTAGTCTTCATATTATGATTGGTGGTAGCTTAAAAATTCTCATGTAAAAAATTTAGTAACTGAACGTTCCATCATGAAATTGTTGTGCATTTATTATGTTATTTTGGTTTTCATTACATCCATTTTGAGGAAATTTCAAAGTTTGCATTGAGAAATTTGTTCAGTATTGAAGCAACGTTTCTCTATTATTTCTGTGATTTTCTTATCCCCCCCCCTGATCCAAGTAAGAATTCCTACTTTTATTTTGATCATGAAGGGATTAGGAGAATTGTATAATTTCTTTTATATATCATAACATTGGCTGTAAAAAGTTGTATTTTACATCTAAACTATTTTATTAAGTTTTTATTAATGATTTTTTGTTTTACCTGAGTTAGTTTTGTTAGATTTGTCACTGTTTTTGTAAACAGTGTAATCAATTTTTAGAATACTCACAATTTACTTCCCTAGGAAAATATTCCATCGATAGTAATTCTGATAATTATATTTTTATCTATTTACAAGTTATCTCACTAATCAAACTATTGTATTATGTTTTTTAAACATCTGTTTACGAGAATAGTAGATGTAAACGATGTTATGAAATTAATTTTCCGACAAATATTCTGCTATGCAGAATGGTAATTTATAACCAGAGTTTATTATATCAATAAAGTGCAGGGACTATATAGCTGCCAATTCGAAATCATGGCTCCGAAACTTCTAGAAATTTTCAAATAATGAAATAATTTAGAGAAATTTATAGAACATAATTAGAATTAAGTTGAAAAACACTTAAAGATCAACCTTCCAACTCCTCCAAATTCCTCTGGAATAAATCAAGAAAGTCCCTCCATGAGGCACAAAATAGGTGGAAAATTGCTCACAAGTGCAAAATTCCTTTCTGTTCGTTGCTGTTCTATGTGAATAAAACGAAAATTTTCGTATCTTATAAAGATTTTTTTGGATGTCGGTAGTGCAAATTATTTTTTTTTGCATAGTTAATTTTCACGCTTAAATCAATTTCATCAGATTGGTCAAGAATTGGAGTATTTTGTGGTTATTTCCACTGAAAATATCACAGACTGTTTGCCAACTCTGTCGAGATGTTGTTAGATTTCATAGCTGCTGTTATTTTTATCACCATAGCCGATTATATTTTCTTGTCAGAGTATATTTCCGTTGAAGCCGCAATGTAGCTACTGTTAAGAGATCAATGTACTTATCAAATTGTTGTTGTATTAAACAAATTTATGAATGTTATAGAATTGGAGTAAGCATCTAATAGCCTTTTAAATAGTAAGGGTCAGATTCTGAAGGAAATCGGTACTTTCTGCTACTTTAGCATCTTTATTTCAAATAATTTGAATGCCTGTTTGTATCCTCATGTTTAGATTATCTTATTAACCTCTCCACATGAGCACATTACGGCAGAAATCTATTTAATCTAGTGAATAACACAGTTCTTAGATGGTAGATTCGGATTTGTTAGATAATGGGCAAGGATGGAATGTCGCGTTTCGCATAGTGCCAAACTCGAGAACCCAAATTTTGTCAGGATTTAAAGTAAACTGAGATATAGATCTATTAAAAATGAGTTTTTTTTGTTTCCTTCTGCAAAAAAGTCAATTTTGGGGGACCCCCCCCCCTCTCCCAGTAACAATTGTAAAATATTTCAGGGAATCAAAACATATTTAAAGATCTGTAAAGAGTGTTTTTCTGTTGCTAAGTCAATCTTAAGAGAAACCCAAGTTTGGTTATCCTCGAATCCAGATACTCAACTGTTTACCCGCATTTAATGAAGAACCCTTTGTAATTGCTGTTGAACTGTTCAAGCTATCGTTTCATTCATTTATTTTTTCATCCAATTATTTTCAGGTGCATACAATCATAAATAATTAATTAGGGCCTTGCTTTTGACGGCACTTGTGCTTTCCATGTGATACTATTATTTTTGATTTGAATATCGTGTTGTTGAACAACTCGAAGAAGCATTTTAATTCTGTTGAGAGTTTCCTCACTTGTTGCCAGTTTTGTTTGAATCTCTTTTGTTTTACACTCGAGAAGTGAGTGAAACGCGATTTTCTCCAGCAGCCCGACCACAGACTTCTCACTTCTATTGACCTTGATGGAATGGAATGAATCATTCTGATGTGAGAAGTTTGTGGCCGGGCTGCAGTATAGGTTGTTTTTCTTTCCCAACTATTTATGCAATTGGAAAGCAGATTGTAGTTGGAATCTGTCGGCATGACAAACTTGAAATTTGCTGTATTGTTTGTGATTTACTCGGGGAAGCTGAAAAGTAATCTCTCCTCATATGTTCCGCCTTCTCAGGCCTGGAAATTTGGTGCCATTTTATTGCGGTGTGGACTTATATTGGGCTGTGAAATCAAAAGTTAGAATGAAACATCAAGATCACATTACCTACAATCATCAACAATTATAGGTTGAGTTATTTATTTTCTTTGCTCGTTCTTGCCCTCGCTGTTGTTTACTCTTCTTTCTTTTATGTCTCATTAAGAAACTAAACCCTCCTGGGAAAGTTATTTCTTTGTCACAGGACTCAACTCTACTTATCTCCCAAGCTCCAATCTGTGGGCTGATTATGAAAATTGATAGACAAAGCGATGGACAAAGGGGACAAAATTGAGCGATCCTATCAGTTGAAATGAGTGGTTGTCATAGACTAAGCAGAAAAATATTGACCTAACTATAGAGTCTCTCTTGAGTTGCCATTAGTTAGTCTATTATGTAGCTCATCGTCCATTGCAATCACCCTCTTCAACTGATAGTATCGCTTCATTTTCCCTTTGACCTATTTGTCTATAACTTTGTCCATCAATTTCAACAATCTGCCTGCTGTAATTATGTGATTCAGATGCTCAATTGTTGCCAAGTCGAACTGTAATATCGAGATTATCAGGAACAACTGTACTTAATTCAAATGCCACCAATGGTCCAAGAACTTCAAACTTTTTGTGGATATTACACTTAGATTAATGTATCCGTAAGAATCCGGAGTTCTGAAGACTTGTCAAGGGCCGTCTCTTTCTCATCATTCACTTATTCTGAGTAATCTAAGTACAGAAGATAATGCAAAGCAAATGAAATAATTAATTTTCCTTTGTAAACCTTGACGTTTTTTGTTTCTCATTATTCTCCTTCTGGGAAAAATATGAAGGAAAGAGATATTGCCTTCCAACTTCCCCTCATATTTTATGAGCTGTGAAATTATATTTTCTACTAATAGGTACTTCATCGTATTTTGTTGCCGTATTTATAGTTTATTAATTTTTGTTCATCATTCCAAAAGAAGAAAAAAAATATTTTGAAACTCAAATAATAAACTCACAATGTAGCAATGAGATTATGTGTTGTTCTTTATTTCTGAAACCTTGAAAAACAGAGTCTCCTTCGAGGAGACGTAACTTTTCTAATGGGCAGTGTTTTTTGGTAGAATGCAGTTCAAAAGGAATGTTGATGAGGAAACAGCAAGAATGCTCAACCGGTTGCCGTGTCTCTAAATCTCTGCCCCTATTTCATTTTTTAAAAGGAGACAGAAGCAGCAATGTGGCTTGAAATTTTCACAGAATGATCCTTAAGTATCAAAAAAGGAATTAAAGACTATCGCCAAGAGCCCCTTTCTTTCTCGCAAAGAATTCTGTAAATGACATTTACAGGGAAAAAAAATTTTCTGAAGTAACATCCCGGATGTTAAACATCTGCACGACAACTCTTGGATGTTGTTATAGACACTCTGGCTGTTAAAGTAGCATCCTAGCTGTGTTGCATTAACAACTGTGGCGTTCCTATCAACATTCAAGAGTTGTTACGCAGATTTTGAACATCCGGGATGTTACTTCAGGAATTTTTTTTTCTTCTGTGTATTCATTCATTAAGAATGAAAGATGAATGATACAAATATGCAAGTTTTTGATTAGCATTGTTGTTTATTTTAAATTACATTTTTTTTTTTTTTTTTTTTTTTTTTGAGAATTCTACATCATTCCCAAACTCTCTATGTACTCTTCTAACAGAGAGTCAACCATAATAATGGAAAAATATCGGAAATTTTAGTCAGTCAGAAAATTGTAAATATATAAGTAACAAAAAACGTAGAAGACTTAAATTTTTTAAAATTGAATTCTCTGAAAGCACATCAAGAAAATGTAGAGGATTATTGAACAGAAAGCAACATTCTTAAGAATCGA